AGTTTACCAGAGTCGAGGACTGCTACCGTGTTTCAGTCCTATGAAGCGACCAGGACCCCTGGAATTCCTTCACGACTCCCCCTCAGCAACAGACAAGTCTGCTGCCCCGTCACTAATGGGAAATGGAAGTTCAGAGAAATGAACAAATGGGCAAAGGTTGCAGCCAGTGAGTGGTGCCAGACTGATTGGGATCTTTGGCTTTAGACACATGCCGCTGTCAGCTGATACCCCCTTTCTCAAAGACATGGGCAGAAGTAGGGGAAGATGCCTTTGCCCAAATTGCAAAAAAAAAAAAAAAAACAAACAAAAAATAAATGCACAGAAGCAGACATGCCATCAGTAGTACTTGGGGTGTTTTCATTCTTTGTTTCTCCTGTGTGTTGCCATTTTAATTGTTCCCATGGCTTCTGATGTCATTACAGAGCTCCATGAAGAATGTTCAAGTGGCTTTGTTACATCTGGCATGTAGAAGTAACCGTGTTCCATCTACTGAATATTTGCATTGTTCACACTTTGTGGTAACAGTCCTGCGGTAAACAGCTTTACGTGCACCAAGCTGGTCACTCCACCACGCCAGCTCCCCAAAAGGTAACTTGACTTTAAGGAGGTGACTGCGTTTGACACTTGTTGTCACCATGAGTTACCTCCCAGGAAGTCTGTGCCAGTCAGTTCCAGGAATGCACTAAGAGACAGGAGGCCCACATAGGGCAGCAGCCTTGGCAAGCAGGGCCTGCCACGAGCCTTCAGGGCCAAGAGGGGAGCAAAGACCAAAGTTTGGAAACGGGTCTGATAGCCGCCGCCTGGGGAGCAGTTGACAGAGGTAGTTGGACCTGAGATTAAGCAAGAGTTGAGGGAGAGCCCTGATTTCATGGCCTGTCCGTTAAGATGCAGCCCCATAGAGGAAGGGGTTTGGAGCTGAAGGAGAGAGCTGCAGTCAAGACTGGGCAGCATGTCCACTCAGCAAACAGAAATCTTCCCAGATGCTTCCAGAGGACGGCTAGGTACTTGGTGTGACAGGTGAGTGAGCCCAGAGCAGGGCTCTGTGGGCCCAGACAGCAGCAAACTTGGATGTGGACAGAGGAAGCCACACAGCCTGGAGGAGTGGACACCAGGCAGTGCTTCCCTGAGGTGGGGCGGGGGGCTTCTGACTTTGGCTAGCTGCCCCCTCAGAGGGGTATGGTGTGTCTAGTTCTGGGGGTCAATAGAAGCCAGAGGGGCAACGCTTTGTGCCCCTGCCCAGTGGATGCTGATAAGAGTGAGAAACAGGAGACGGTGCCTCCCTGTCCCTTTGAATCTCCAGCCAGCATTGCCTAGGCAGTGACCCTGAAGGTGGCAGGGCCGGGAGAGGTCAACTGTGTAACCCTAAGTCTGTCATCATTGGGAGTGGGCTGGGCACAGACATGTGGATGTGACAGTAGCACCAGAGCTCCAGAGTCACTGGAGGTCCTGTGGGAGAGTGGCTGAGAGCGTAGTGAGAGCATGTGACGCCCATGCCAGCTTGGCCAAAACCCAGCCCCTAAGAAAGTTGGGGGCAGGCACTGAACATGGAGGCCTAAAGAGGGGTGTGGGCAAGCTGGCCTAGTTCTCCACTTCTCCCCACCAAGGCCCACCCCCCCAACGCCACCCCAGTCTGTATTCAAGCTTGGGCATATCCCCTGGCCCCTCTGTGCCACTGCAGGATGGTGTGGGGGGGACGATGAGAATTCCTGCGAGGCACTTAGCTCAGTGCTGGACACACACACACTGTGTTCCTGTAAGTGCTGGTGGTGGTTATCAATATTTTAGCAGCATGACTTAATGGGGTACTCCGCACCCCTTGGGCTAAGTGACCCACCCCATTTTGAATGGCTGACAGTTTCTTTAAGACCCCTGAGTCCCCTTTGGGGGCATTCAGGAGAGAGGAAAAAGTGGAAAAGTCCTGTTTTCTATGCTGGTCCCTGTGTTTTTTTCCCTGCTGATTCCTGTGTTTTTCTGACGTGTATAGGCATGGAGAACAGGGCTTTCTGCGTTTGCACTGAGACACTAAAGTGCGCTCCTCTGGGGGTCTGAGGTGTGGATGTTGGCAGGAAGGCCTATGCTGGCATGGTACCATCTCTGCAAGTACCGACCATCCGCGGAGGGCACACCAGTCCACTACTAGCCAGTCCCAAGGAGACAGGAAGACAAGGGTAGAGGGTGGCTGCTGAACTGGCAGCTCCAGATCTGGAATATACTGTGTCTGGGCCCCTGAGTCACAGGCCAAGGACACACATTGTTCTCTGTCCCCACCACAAAGTCCCCACCCTGAGAAGACCCATCTGCAGCCCTGCCACTCAGGACTATGAATGGGGAAGAAAGATCACTAGGAGGTCTTAGCTGTTCAACTCTTAAACAGAAAGTAGAAATAAAGGTGACAGAAATAAAGGTGATGAAAACCAACTATTTCTAAAAGTTGTGTCCGTTAAAAAATGTCCAGGGCCAGGAACTGAGTTTGGGAGTAGCCACCCATGCAGGTTGAGGTGACCACCTCGGCCACACCCAGGGGCCAGTCTGCTTCGGTAGAGTGGGGAATTTAAAAACCTGTATATCCGAGGCTATCTGAGGGTTACACCTGTTCTCTATAAGCGTGTAGCTGGTGTGAACCTAACTGAGTAAAACTAAATCATAAGTTAATGCACTGGAGAAAGATGCTTCAACCTCAGTTTAGTTGTTTGATATGAATTTGCTGAATCTTTACTGCATAGACAGCTGTATCACCAGGGAGGCCAGTTTTTTAATTTATTATTTTTTTCTCCTGATCCCTAATTTACTTCTCCCATATTCCTCCTACAAGTGAAACAATCCGATAATTTTCTTTTTTCTTCTGGTTTATTTCACTGAGCATAATCCCTTCCTGCTCCATTCATGTTGCTGTAAATGGCATGAGTTTATCTTTTTGATTGCTGAATAGTATTCCATCGTGTATATATACATCTGTGTAGTATTCCATTGTGCATATATACAACATCTTCTTGATGTTGCCCATCTATTTTTTGGGCATTTGGGTTGTTTCCATATCGTACTTACTATAAATAGTACTGCAGTAAACATAGGGATTCAGGTATCCTTTTGAATTAATGTTTTTATGTTCTTTGGGTAGATTCCTAGGAGTGGAACTGCTGGGTCATATGGTAGTTCAATTTTTAGTAGTTTGAGGAAGTTCCACATAGCTTCCTATAGCGATTGGACTAAAGACTATCTCTGTTTACATAGATATTATGTACTATCTCTATTTCCATGATATTATATACAGAAACCCCTAAAGACTCCATCCAAACCCTGCTACAACTAATAATAAGAGTTCAGTAAAGTTGCAATCTATTAAATCAACATACAACAATCTATTGTGTCTTTATAAACTCATACCAGCTAGCAAGTAAGAGAAATTAAGAAAATCCCATTACATTTGCATCAAAAAGAGTGACACATCTAGGAATAACTTTAACCAAGGAAGTGAAAGATCTGTACATTGAAAACTATGAGACACTGATGAGAGAGATTGAAGAAGACACAAATAAATGGAAAGATAATCACTTTATAGATTGGAAGAATCAATATTGTTAAAATATACATACTACCTGAAAACCTACATTCAACACAATTCCTATCAAAATTGTGATGACATTATTCACAGAAACAGAAGAAAGATACTAAAAAGACTCCAAATAACTAAAGCAATCTTGGAAAGAAGAAAAAAATCTAGTGGCATTACTAGCTATAATTATAAAGTGTTAGCAATCAAAATAGTATTTTGACACAGACATATAGATCAATGGGACAGTATGGATAACTAAGAAATAAACTCTCAAATATATGGTTGATTGATTCATGTTGAAGGAACCAAGAATATACAATGAGGAAAGGCTAGTCCCTTCCATAAATGACATTGAGGAGACTGGATAGCCACATGCAAAAGAACAAAACTGGATCTCCATCTTACATCATACACAAAAACTAACTCAGGATTAAAGGCTTGAACATAAGATCCGAAATCATAAAACATGTAGAAGGACCACAGGTGGTGAGATTCCTGACATTAGTCTTAGCAATGACTTTGGATTTGACACTAAAAGCAAAGGTAACACAAGCAAAAATAAATAAGTAGGACTTAACCAAGTTAAAAGGCCTCTGCCCTGTCAAGGAAATCATCAACAAAATAAAAAGGCACTTTACTGAATGAAAGAAAATATTTGCAAATCATATATTGACAAGGGGTTAATATCCAAAATATACAAAGAACTCACAACTCAATAACAATAAAACAGAGAACCACTGGAAAATGACCAGAGGATCTGAGTTTCAGACATGCACATGCCAACAGGCACATGAAAAATATGCTCAATATCACTAATCTTCAGATAAATTCAAATAAAAATCACAGTGGAATATTATCTTATACTGTTAGAATGGCTACTGTAAAAAAAAAAAAAAAGACAAGAAATAGTAAGTATTGGCCAGGATGTAGAGAAACAAGGGAACAACTGTGCACTCCTGGTGTAAGTTGGTAAGCCACCATGGAAAACAGCATGGATATTCCTCAAAAAGCTAAAAGTAGAACTACAATATGATGCAGTTATTCTAGTGGGTATTTGGCTGAAGAAAGTAAAGCCACTAACTAAAAAATGTATATCTCATGTTTATTGTAGATTATTTATACATAATCCATTGATGTCATTACCACAAGTGTCCGTTGATGGATGAGTGAATAAAGAAGTTATACATACACACACACACATATGTAAATGGAATATTATCCAGACATAAAAAAGAAAATCCTGCCATTAGTAACAACATGGATTGACTTTGAAGACCTTATGCTAAGTTAAATAAGTCAGACAGAGAAAGATACCAAAATTAAAATCAGTTAGATACAGATTTTATGTAATATATAGAGAAATCCAAAAAATACTTCAAACTAATACAGATTGGTGTTTGCCAGGGGTAAGGGTGGAGGGAGAGTTAGATAAGTGAATTGAGTGAAGATGGTCACAGGTACACACTTCCAGTTATAAAATAAATTAATATGGGAGATGTAATGTTAACAAAGCTTTATTGTACAACTGAAAATTTCTAAGAAAATAAACCTTAAAAGTTCTTATCACATACCTGCAAAAAGTGTGTAACTGTGTGGTGAAAGATGCTAACTAGACCTAGTGTGATCATTTCATGATATATACAAATATCAAATCAGTATGTTGTACATCTAAAATGAATATGCTGTTGTATGTCAATAATATCTTGAAAAAAATAATTTAAAAGGCCAACATGTATGTTCGTTCAATGGAATATTATTCAGCCATAAAAGGAGTGAGGCACTGACACAGTACATTATAAACGAAAAAGTGAAAATTATGCTGAGTGAAAGAAGCCAGACACAGAGAAGACACATGTGGTGTGTCTCCATTATAAAAAAACATCCAGAACAGGCACATCTATAGAGACAGAAAGGAGATTACTGTGAACCACAGTGAGAATGAAAGGGGGGCCACTGCTTATGGGGACAGGTTTCTTGTGGGGTGATTATAATATTTTGGACATGTTCTAGATGGCGGTGATGATCATCAACTCTGTGTATATATGAAAAAACACTGAACTGTATACCTTAAAAGAATGAACTTATGGTACGTAAATGATATCTCAATTAAGTTGTGATCAAAATAGCAACAAATGTTGACTTTCATTTGGAGTGAAGGAATGTTACATCATCTTAGTGATAAAAGAATAAAAATGGAAAATTCATTGTATTGTAGAATATTGAGGTCCAGCGAACAACAGGAGTCCTGAGCACCCCATTTTCCTGGCCAGCACCTGGGAGATGACCTGCCACCCCTCAGGACGTGCCCAGCACCCAGCACCACAGAGCTGTGCTTTCCATCAGAACCTTCCCCCAACCCCCAACCTACCCCCATATCCTCTTCCTCCCTCTCTGCAGTCTGCTGGGTCCTCATTCCAGAAATCTTCTCTATGGGGCAGCGTTACCTCTAGGTGTGTAGTCGCCTGGCTAGACTAGGGGCACAGTACAGCCTGGGAGTATTTGGAGGTCCCGGGCACTAGAGATATCAAGGTGACACTGCCTAACTCTGTGGTCTTGCACACAAGGCCTTTCATAGAGTGCAACTCAGAAGCTAGCTGTCTGGTCTCTGTCATACACTACCTTCCTACAAGAAGGTGCAAGGAGCCCAACAGAGGCTTGTCTGTGGAGCCCAGAGGAAAACTGAGTGGAGGAGAAATAAAGGAAGACTCCCAGGGGGAGCTGACGTTTGACAGCGGTGCGCAGGGGCTCTTCGAAGCCTCTTCCCCTCATCTACAGGCAGCATAGTTCTGTCTCAGCAGCACTGGGATTAAGGGCAGATGCCTTCTGCCTCGCCCTTGTTTGCTCAGCTGTAAATGGTGATTATGACAGAACTTGCCTTCTTGATAGAGAGGTCCTGATGGGTGCTGTTTGTGCATGAGAGGAGGAAAGGACCCCTCCTCCCCAAAGTGAATCGGCCCCGAGTTGGAGTCTGGGGAGGGGCTCTGGTTTCTTCATGAGGGTGAGGTTACATTTCACTGGCACAGGGCTCAGGGATTTGGGGCGACTGCTGAGGACAGGTGAGACGGACGGTTGGGGGGGAGTCTCAGGGACACGAGGGCTTACGCAGCCAGGAGCCCCATCCCAGCAGGGAGCAGGGAGCCTGGAGCGCCAGGTCCAGCCCCACCCGGAAAGGGGTCGGGAACCGGGTCCGCGGACCTGGGACAGGGGGCGGGGCTCCGGCCCTCCTGCAGGTGTCTTCAAGCCGCAACCAGGTGGGCGTGCCAGGCTCCGCCCAGCGCGCCGAACGGGGGCGGGCGAGCGGAGGACCCGCCCTCCTCAAGCGCCGGGTCGGAGCCGGTGCCGGAGCACAGCGGCGCGGAGACCGAGCAGTGCGGACGAAGGTTGCCCGCAGCGGACGGCCAGAAGAACCAGTGCCACGACCGGGTTCCAAGAACGACCGGCCCCGGGCGCGGGCCCTGGCCCCGAGGACGACCCGCCCAGCGCGAACCCCGGCCCGGAGAGTGACCCGGCCCGAGAGCGGACCCTGGCCCCGGAGTGCGGCCTCGCCCGCCTCGCCCGCCCCGGCTACTGGTCCCTGGGCATGGACGGCGCCCGCTCGCCCTGTGAGTGCAGAGACCCCCGCCCGCCGCCTTTGTGTGCGCGCCGCGCCGCCGCAGCCCCCTCGCCGCGCGCCCCTCCTGCGCCCCGGGCCGCGTCCTTTGTCGAGCCGCCGCCTGGCCGTTGCTTCCCGGTTCCGCGACCTCCCTACCCCCTCTGCAGCCTCTCTTGGAATCCCCAGGGACGGGCCCCCAGGACAGCAGAACCCGCAGGACACCCCGGCAGGTCCCCTTCCCCGGGGCTTCCTCTGCAGCTTGCCCCGAGGTCCCTAGGGACGCTCCAAGAGGCCCCCTGCCTGGGGGCCCCAGGGACAGCCCAGCAGGCCCCCTCCGCGGCTGTGGCTTAGCAGGGCACGGCCCCTCAAACCCGACCTCCTGATCGGGTCTGCAGTCCCCTTCCCCAAAGGGCAGCCAGTAGGCCCCCTCAGCGGCTCGGGCTGGGCTGGGCGCGGGCCCCCGGGCGGCGCTGTCTCATCCCACTGCCGGGCAGGTGCGGCGGGCCGGCGCTCACGCGGGCCTGCGTGTCCTTGGCCCGCAGAGATGGACGGCGATGGCAGCCGCCGAGACGCCCCCGGCGCACTGATGGAGGCCGGGCGCG